TCCATACATGTTGAGGTGCTGGTAAACTGAACAGGGAGTTGATCTGGAAAAGGAATTGTGTGAATCATAGGTGGAGCTGGCACTCAGAACTGGCTTTGGGTGGTGACCAGTGCAAAAACATAGCTGTAGAGCTTTAGGGAGTGGATACAGATGGCAAATACAACTATTTTTCTTCCTCTAAATATTTATAATGTTGTATAGGTAACACTGAAATCGTAGAGCTGTCTGTGGTCCACATATAGCTAGGAAACTGTATTGCCAGAAACCTCAAACTGAAACTTAAGGGGACGAAAGATTAAAACATGCTCTCCTTTCCTCAATTCCTTATTATTAGAAAGCATTGTCTGTTGAATGGTAACAGATCTAGGTCCCATGATACGCAGATGTGGTAATGTAAGTAACATCTAGGGATTGTTTAAAGATATTTTTTTCTTTTTCCATTGATGGGTCATTGAGGTACTTTACCCTGGGTCAGATTTAAATTAAAATACATGCGTCCTAGAGTTGTCCAAGTTTTTTCCTCAAGAGGCAAATCCTTCTTTTCAGATGTGAGTGCAGGGCTTTCGTTAAAACTGTTTCAGGGGCTTCCCTGGTGGCGCAGTGGTTGAGAGTCTGCCTGCCGATGCAGGGGACACGGGTTCATGCCCCGGTCTGGGAAGATCCCACATGCAGCAGAGTGGCTGGGCCCGTGAGCCATGGCCGCTGGGCCTGTGCGTCCGGAGCCTGTGCTCCGCAACGGGAGAGGCCACAATAGTGAGAGGCCCGCGTACAGCAAAAAAAAAAAAAAAAAAAAAAAAACTGTTTCAGGTCAGAGGGGGCAGTGGAGTTGAAAGTTAACATAGGAGGCTCTTTCTACGTGAAAATTGGATGGGTTTCTGAAGAGGCCTTTTCTGGAGGGGTGACCATCTCAGCCCAGTGGTTTTCATGGTGTTAATGTTGTTAACGTTAAAAAGAAACACTCATGATTTTTGAACACAAAGAAAGTACATGCTGATTTTAGAAATACTGTTGATTATATACTGTTGATGAAATACATTTTTAAGAGATTCAGAGCCAGATATAACAAATTACACTGCCGGCTAAGCCAGCTCTGCTCTAACTCTTGGTTGGTTGATATGGAATGACTTGCATCCCTGTTTCGGGGAACTGCTAACCTGGTCTCTGAATTCTGACATGAATCCAGAGAGGCAGGACCTCTTGGGGTTCTATTTAGACCTAGCTCCACCTCTCGTGTCTCCTCTTTCCCTTTTCCAAGATAGGATTGCAATCCCTTTCCTGGTCTACAGAGCGAACCCATTCTGGAGCCTTCTTGGCTCGCCTACGAAATCTTGGCGAGCTATGATCGGTCCTTACTTCCTAGTTTGACTCAGAACTGTTGAAGAAGTGTAAAGGTGTGATGAGAGCATCAGTAATTATAGGGTCTGGACAAAGTATCATGGGAACAAATGGAGGGACTGACTAATTTATCCCAGGCTACTGTATTTCTTTTGGAGAACTTTTATCTGTCCTCTAGAGTTTTTCTCTTTGCTCATTTGCTGTTAGAATGTTAGTTGTCACATCTGACCACTCAGTATCCCTGCCCAGTCAGCCCCTCTGCCCTTTCTACTTCTTGGAGGTGAGTTACATCCACAGCCCTGTGTTTACCTTACGATTAGGTGCCACTGCCAAAAGCCTAGAGGAAATTTTCAAAGTGCATCCGTGTGCCATAGTATTTCCCTCCGGCTGCTTAATTCTGTTGTGTCTTAGGCTAATACTGATTGGTCAGTTGATTCTTTGATTGATTAATTCATTCATCAGACATTTGGGGAGCATATACTATATGCCAGGGGCACATACTCCATCTAGGTGCTGGGATAAAAGGGTGAGCAAAGCAGATTTGCCTACAGAGTTCTGCTGATCGTTCACAGGGGTGAAAATAAGAGTGAAACACCTAAAGAAAGCCAAATTGCTTTTCTGTAATTCAAAGAGTATGTGTGAGATTGCCGTATCACAGCCGACTCTGTAGAGTACTCCGTAAGTGCATTTCACGCAGGAAGTGGTGGTACCAGACATTTTCTGTATTATAATAATCTTCATGTATTTATTAAGCTGTAACTTGTAAGGCTTCCTGACGGGGCGTTGAATGAGCCTTTTTGTGTGCTACATTGTGTCTTTGTCAGGAAGCACTCTGGTAACTCCTGCCTGTAATGAGACCCATTTCAGTCATTCCAGGAGGGTTTGGGGGATCGGCACAAAGAGGGGTAAGACGAACACTCAGGAAAGGGTTGGATTCATGGTGGGTTGAAGGGAGCATCCTCAGGAAAAGCCGGAGATAGAATGGCATCCTGTTGCCTGGTATATTTTACGTCTCGGCGCCCTTTGAGCACAGCAGCTGAGTAGCCCAGCATTGTTCTACATTTTGAAAACTGCTAAGACAATGCTAGCTCACTACATTTATAAAGTTTTTCTTAGAATAAATTTATTTATTTATTTTTGGCTGCGTTGGGTCTTCGTTGCTGCGCGTGGGCTTTCTCTAGTTGCGGCGAGCGGGGGCTACTCTTCGTTGCGGTGCGCGGGCTTCTCATTGCGGCGGCTTCTCTTGTTGTGGAACACGGGCTCTAGGTGTGCAGGCTTCTGTAGCTGTGGTGATCAGGCTCAGTAGTTGTGGCGCACGGGCTTGGTTGCTCCGCGGCATGTGGGATCTTCCTGGACCAGGGATCGAACCCGTGTCCCCTGAATTGGCAGACGGATTCTTAACCACTCTGCCACCAGGGAAGTCCCTAAAGTTTGTTTATTTTTGCCTTCTCCACTGTTGACCTGGCATCAGGTTGGGAGAATCTGTGAACTCCAAGTGTGACGATGGGACAGCAGACGAGCCCAGAAATTTTCCTATAATTTCCAGGCTCTGTGCCTGGGAGGTCTGGCTACACACTGATAACAGAGGTTCGACTCTGGGAAAGGAGAGAGCCTAGAAGAGGGGAAAGAAGTATGGGCACATTAGTGAGGAACAGGGAAGAGAGATCAAGGGGGGAAAGGTAGAAAGATGCTCTGTTATCCTCGCTTCTCTCCCTCATCTCCTTCTTCTCATAGCAGGAGGGGGTGAGAAAGCAGGCAGATTGAAAAAGAGAAGAAGGGAGTTGAATTAGAGATGGGAGGGCACTTGGAGGTGGTAAGGGAGAAGGAGAATGAGTCAGAGGAAGCGAGGGGGAAGGAGGCAGGATAAGGACTACTTAAATGTGGGGAGGGAGAGGAGACAGGCACAGAGAGGGGCGTGCACACCGTGGTCTCACCGAGAGCCTTCAATTGCTCCCAGCGATGCAGCAGCCAGATAGCCAGTGTCCCTCCCCGAAGACAGTTTCCTGACTTTTGTATTAACTTTAATGCCATTCTCTTTATGGTCCCTGTATTGCTGGTTGCAGCTGCATTGACACTCTGCGTGATCAGAGAGCAGAGACTTAGTTCTGTTGTCCCTGCCCCCTCGCAGTGTTCGGCAGACTTCTGAGTCAGTGCTGCTTGCATTTGATGTCTGCCATTCCTCCTTGTCTATACAGGTAGGGGAGCTGAAAGGGAAAAAAAAAATGTTCCTAACGGCTGCCGCCTTTAGAGCTCATGCGTACAAATATTCAAAGCAGTTGGGAAAAACAACTCGATACAGTCACAATCCAATATTTTTTCTAAGTAAAGGTAGTTGACTCCTTCATTGCTGGGCTGGGTACTTGCCCTAACCCAGCACCACACTCACTGCGCCTACAGGTGGGCTGCTTCTTGAAACACCTTTCCTCTTCTTTTTTCGAAGCTCAGCTCAGGAAGCCCTCACAGTGTTCCAGGTCTGGGTCAGGTGCTTTCTAAGTGTGCGCCAGAGTCCTCCTCTGCACCCTGGCTTGTGGTGCCAACCTTTCTCCTATTAGAGCTCCCATTCCTATTGTAATTTCTGTTCTTCCCCTACACTTTGGGCTCTTTACACAATGTTGGATGTTATGGAGCATCTAAATAGATGTTCACTAACTGCTTATGGAATGAATGAATGGCTATGGTGCTGCTTTTGTAAGTGTAAAACAAAAGTCTTCTAGAATCAACTATGCTTTAGGAATGAGTGTACAATCAGCCCACGTATTCTGGAAGAGAAGAGTTGACTTAGCCAGCAGTAAGGGATTTCTGGGGACTTTATTCAGCTATAATAAAGGAACTGTGATTCCTTTAACTTCTGGACACCAGAGGACAGTCTTGAAGTTTCAGGCAACCTGTTTCTTGTGATTCTAGTAATTGCAGGTCAGATAGATAAGGAGCTTCAAAACCATACTTCTCAGACATGAATGTGCATAGGAATCACTTGAGGATCCTGTGAAAATACAGATTCTGTTTCAGGAGGTTTTAGCATTTCAGGCTCCCTGGTGATGCTGCTGTTGCTGGTCCGTAGACCTGACTCGAGTAACAAGCTTTTAAAATACTTTCTAGTAAATAAAGTTGGGATTTATTCTATGGAAATATACAGATGCATTTTTATAGTTTGAGGAACCACAGACTTCCCAAGAGAAAACGTAGAAATATGTAACCCTTATGTCAACTTGGAAATTTGCAGGAAGTCTTTCCTACACTTAAAAAGAGGAACCCTATACTGATCAGCCCCCCAAAACTGCTTTCAAATGATACTCTAGGTTGTACTGCCCTTAACTAATACTCAGCTTTATTTATGAAGGCTTTTGCAGATTTGCGAGGCCCTGGCCCTGACCCTAGCCCTGGTGTAGCTACTTTAGCAACAAGGACGACTTTTAAAGCACAGATATTCTGTGGAAGATCGACAGTTCAAGGGCTGTGTTTATGATGAGACCTTTGCATTCATGGATTGTGACCATGCAGAGACCTTCTCCAAGGACAGCCAATTAGAATGGCTGGAAGTAGGAAGGGGCAACATTCAGCTCGAACTTTGCAAGCGAAACCTTGAATCTGCTTACATATATTCCAACAGCTCTCTGAGTTTGCTGTTCGGAGTCTTCTCTAACACGGCTGCCTTTATTTTACAGGTCCTTTGCAGCCAGCATGATGCCATCTTTATAACCCGTGGAGGAGAGAGCGCTCACCATGTTCAGGTAAAGGGATGGTGGGTACAGCAAGCAACGAGCACGGCCACTGGCAGGTTGCTTGTCACTGTACGAGAAGTGATGCAGCTTAATCATTCAGTTGACATCACTCTCTTGTGTTTTGCTCACTTATACTGGGGTGCAGAGGGCCAGCCATGGGTGGTCTCAGTGAACTAATGTGCGTTTGGGGAGCATCTCAGGGTACCTACAACAGGGGCTCTGTAGACAACCAGGGAGGAAACAGGACTGGTCACCTGGAATCTCTTTCCATCTTCTACAGTGTTAACATAGAGTTATTGCTATTGTTCATCTTTATTACCGTATCAGAAGGCTTTAATCTTTTCAACATTGATGTAAATAGGTGAATACTGAAGACTCTTCTAATTAAAGTCTTATCTCTGTTCCCTTATCTGAAGTTGCCCTTCTAAAGATTCTTTGCATTTTCCTTTTCAATAAATGTATGTCCCACAACTTTGATTTGCCCCACTAGGTCACCAAGATTAATTTTCCATTAACCTTTATGGCTTCTTCCTTTCTAATCATCTTTTTAGAGTTTTAAACTTTGCGTCAGCCTCTGTATAGGATATAAACCATCTCCTTCTTTGATGGTCTTTATGGAACGGACATAGATGGTGATGACCTCTGGTCCGTTGACTGAACCTGGCCCTGTTAATTGAATCAGACCATCTGTGGATAGACCCGCACAGGCGTTCCATTGACCATGGCAGTTTTGTCGTTGGCCTTGCTTCTTTTGTGACCCAGTCTGTATTAGTTTTCTCTGGCAGCTGTAACAAAGGAACACAAACTGGGTGGCTTAAACGACAGACACTTACCATCACGCGGTTCTGGAGGCTAGAAGTCCGAAATCAAGGTGTCAGCAGGCTTGGTTCTTCCTGAGAGTTGTGAGGGAGAACATGGTCCATGCCTTTCTCCTAGCTTCTGGTAGCCTCAGGTGTTCCTTGGCCTACGAACGGCCGTCTTCTTCCTGTGTCTTCGCATTGTTTATCTCTGTGTTCAAATTTCTGCCCTTTTAAAGACACCTGTCGTCTTGGATTAGGGACTCCTTTAATGACTTCATCATAATTTGACCATCTGCATAGATTCTACATCTAAATGAGGCCACGTTTAATCAAGACTTCCACATACTTTTTGGCACGCCTAATTCAACCCATAACACTATCTAAGGAAAGGGGACTTCGTTCCTCTTGGTTTTCCCTAAAGAAACTAGCACAAAGCTTGTCGCTTAATATTGGTTGAATGAGTGAATGGCAAAGACCATAATGACCGTGGCCAGATTCATTTGGCAAAAGCAAAGTGCAGTGACCAGAGGCGGGCAGCTCTTCTGCTCCCTTATCCTCAGTGACCTCTTACTTTTAGATAGTCCCAGCTCAACAGCATCCTAAACGGGACACTAGCTTTCCTTTAAAAGTAAGCGCAACTAGACTTTTTCTAAACTGTAGCCCTCTCTGTGAGCCAGGCCCGCTTTCTCTACCGCATGGCAGGCTGACAATTTACACGCCACCTCTATCAGGACATCAAGATATCCTTCCAGCTAATTCAATACCATTGCAATCATACTTAGCCGGGCTATTCTTTCTTTCCAGCTGCATCACTTTGGGCTTATTAAATTTAACGTCTGTTCCAGAGCTCTCATCTCTAAATGCAGTCCTGAAACAGGTCTGCTCCCGTTGTGTCTTCTCTCCTCTCTGTGCTTCCCCGGGTAGAAATTGTTAGCAATGGTCTTTTGCGTGTTGCTTAAGATTTGAGTATTGGTAACACGTGAGGATCCTGGTCTCAAGATAGCACTTAAATGATCCGTTCCTCAGAGATGTTTATTTAGAAAAGCCCTTATTTCCTGCAAGGGTAGAGCTTTCTGGACGTATCTACTGTGACTTCCAGGAAAGGATTACCTTTCTGCCCCAAAAGGAAGCCTCCTGCTGAGAGAAGTCCAAGGCCAGTGGGACTTGGTCCTGGGAATGAAGCAGGCATCTTTAGAGACCCTGTGAATTGATTTCAGGCCCCGGGTTAGTGCTGCAGGTGGGCAGGCCAACATCTAGATACAGACTGTGTGGCTCCCACCTGGGCCCCCCAAGGCTGGACATCAGGTGGGCTGGGATAATCGACTTCCAGGCTTCCCAACCCCACGGAAGCTTTCCTGTTCCTGGGGGTGGGGCTGCAGGCCATCCCATGGCCGAGGGATAGTGTTGGCCTAGACAGCACTGGCGTTATAAGATGATGACGGGCAGTAGAAAATAAAAATGAAAATAAAAATTCATGTTAGCCTTTTTCACGCTGACGTTAGTCCTAACAAAATTGGTGAATCACAAGGCAGATTTTTATGGTGTGTGTGATGCCTGCAGGCACGGTTCCACCAAATGCCATCGTACATGGTTGTATAACTTCATCCTGGCGCCTCCACTGCTTGCTTGTCTTTTCCATTTTATTGAAGTGCTGACTACCCTCTATTACAAGTGCTTACTATCCTTCTGTAATAACTTCCATGTGAATCCCCTCATTTGGTGTGTGAGAATGTCCACAGGCCTAAATTAAAAGTAAAACAATTTGTTTTTGTCACACAGTGACCATATCAGAGTGATGGTGGAAGAGCTCTTTGATGATGACGTGTCGAGTTCAGTGAGCAATTGCATCTCGGTCGTTAAACAGTCCTTAAACAGCTTGTTTAGTACCCTAAAGTGGCACTGCTACAATTATAACATTCTAATAAATCTTATTTTAATAACTAGGTTATTTTGTGTGTACCTAACACTTCTCTACCATTAAAGAGAAATAAACCAGAAATGAAACCTCAAGTGTCTTGACAACTAAAAACTAACTTATTGTTGCCAAGTCTTTTCCCCTCTTCCATTTTGCACTTTCCAGTTTCTCTAATCTGAGATTTCTGAAAATTCAGATATACCTGTTTCGTGGAATTGATAATAATATGCATATTCACTGTGAAACTCTGACTTTTAAAAAAAAGGGGAAATGCTTTTTATGCTATTTTAGTTAATAATTAACACGGTAGTTTTAAGGCCTCTGAAATTTTAGAGTGTTTCGATGATACATGGGAGACATTTTAATTAAAGAAATGATACTTTGAATCAAGATTCTATCAGACTTTCTCAGAAAATACTTGCACACGGGTAAGGGTAAGTTAAGATACGAATCTTCGTGTTTGTTCTCTTTGGGTTCTTTTCCTGCCTGTCTCCTGACGGTTGGTTCTTTTTTTGTTTCTTTTAAATCTGTAAGTTTATACTCAGAGCTTTTAAGCTGGTAACATAGGAGTCATGAAGAAGAGCAGAGGGCTTCTGGCAGAGAACTCGGAAGCTCGGCATACTTCTCCACGTCTTGCTGCCCTGACATTTGGCTCTCACTAAGCTCTATCAAGCTTTCTATAATTCTTTCATGTTTTCACTCTCTTTTCCCCTTTTCATCTATGACCATCATTTTCATGGCTTTTCCTTCCTTTTGTTTTTGTTTGTTTATAAGACCATTCAGTTTGTTCATTTGCTCATTCACTCACTCATCCATGCAAGTATTGTCCTTCTCACATGTGCCAAAAATGGCTCTGGGGATAGCATCAAGGTGGTCACAATTTAGGTGGGAGATGGTCATGCAGAAATTGTTGCTGTGATGGGGCTCTGTACTGTGTGCTCCGCACACACAGGAAAAAGAGCAACGGAGTTGGCTTGGGGAAGTCAGGAAATGCTTCCAAGAGAAGGTGGCATTTGAGTGGACATTGAAAAGAGTAAGAACCTTGCCAGATGGACCCATGTGGTGGAGAGAGAACATTCTAAAGGAGAAAGGATGGGCGGCCTAGCAGGGAGGTGTGGGGAGCAGGGTGTGTGTGTACCGCTCGCCGTTTGGGCGACGTTGCTGGAGCATGAGGTGGGAGGGAGGGTGTAGGGCTGGCTGAGGCTCTGCGGGAAAGTAGGCATCGATGGAGAAGGTCCCCTTACATACTGTGAGCCTTCCTTCCATCTCAGGTCTGCAATCTGCCGTTGCCTCGGGTTCATCCTGCACCTTGCAAGGAGGCTGCCTGTGTTAGCAGGCTTATCTCCTGCCAAACGCCTCACTGCTGCTAGAGGGAAGTCAGGGCTTCCTAATCTGGCTCTCGAAGAGCTCAGTGCCCTCTCTCTCTCTCTTTTTTTTTTAACATCTTTATTGGGGTATAATTGCTTTACAATGGTGTGTTAGTTGCTGCTGTATAACAAAGTGAATCAGCTATACGTGTACGTATATCCCCATATCCCCTCCCTCTAGCGTCTCCCTCCCACCCTCCCTATCCCAGCCCTCTAGGTGGTCACAAAGCACTGAGCTGATCCCCCTGTGCTGTGTGGCTGCTTCCCACTAGCTATCTATTTTACGTTTGGTAGTGTATATATGTCAATGTTACTCTCTCACTTCGTCCCAGCTTACCCTTCCCCCTCCCCGTGTCCTCAAGTCCATTCTCTGCGTCTGTGTCTTTATTCCTGTCCTGCCCCTAGGTTCATAAGAACCATTTTTTTTTTTTTTTAGATTCCATATATATATGTGTTAGCATACGGTATTTGTTTTTCTCTTTCTGGCTTACTTCACTCTGTATGACAGTCTCTAGGTCCATCCACCTCACTACAAATAGTTCAATTTCATTCCTTTTGATGGCTGAGTCATATTCCGTTGTATGTATGTGCCACATCTTCTTTATCCATTCATCTTTCGATGGACACTTAGGTTGCTTCCATGTCCTGGCTATTGTAAATAGAGATGCAATGAACCTCGTGGTACTTGGCTCTTTTTTGAATTATGGGTTTTGAAGGGTATATGCCCCGTAAATGCTGGGTCATTTACTCTGTAAATCATCTGTCCTGGCTGCACTCGCCTGCTTTGCTTCTCACACACAGTTTGTTCCTTTGTCCTTCCAGCCTCCATCTGCAGAACCCCCCATCCTTCAGGACATCACTCAAATCCATCCCCTTTATGAAACTTTTCTCCACTCATGAGTAATTTACCCCTTCCTCACTGCAGGG